GAGCATTTTGGTTCCGCGGGAGACTTGATCTCTCAATCATCAACTTTTTGTGAATACAAATTGTGCCAAAGGATCTCAAGCACAGTGTTGAATCTATGCTTATATAGCTGTCGGTAGAAAATTAATTTGCCTTTCAGAAATGCCACTATAAAGACAAATATAGTGACTTAAAAATAAAGCTGGGACGTGGGCAGAAGTTTTTCTCCTCTTAGCTCTGCATCCTCTTCTCTTAGGAATGACGGACAAGGACCAACTTTCTGATCTGTGAATTTCAAAACACTGCACATTTTTACTGCACAGAAACAACTTACTTGACATTTACTGTGTATTGCAAAATACTATTTTTCTTATTGGAAAATGTTACAGAATGCCAAATACTGAGTTTTTTTCTTTCTGAAGAATTTCTCAAGAAACATTTTTTTTTGCTCAAGTCCCAAGTATATTTGTTGTAACTGTCTTGTTTGAAATTAAAAGCATTGCTGAGAACTAACTAGTCCTGTTTACAGGACTAACTCCTGTAAACATTTCTTTTCCTACCTTGTGTCTTTGAGTTTCTCACCTGCTGCTGGGAAGCACACAGGGATTTTGGCCATAGATTTGTATTTTAAACAAAACATAAGACAGATGAATATGAATATGGATGCATTCTTGCTGCAAATCATTATAGATGATGGCTGTTTTAAATGCAAGCTGCACTTCTTCCACTTGCCTTTTCCAATAGACCAGTACATTTAAAATCAATAACTCAAACTAAAAATGCTCCTCTGTGTACCCAATATTGCTATGGAGGTGAAGCCAAGATAAAGAACAGAAAGCACATGCCAGAATTTGGTCTCCTCCATTTAAAATTACAAAGTTGGATTTCCAGGTGGTATACATGCCTCACAGTAAAGATGTATTACTGGGATAAACCATAGAAAGTTGGGCCTATCTTGACTTTCTCAGGGCACTTCCCAGCTCTAGTCACAGCATGCTGAGCTGCTTCCTTCCTGCAGCAGATCTTGGTCTCCACAGCTCCTGAGCTCAGATCCTCACGGATCAGCTTGAACAATGATTCACCCATCATTGACATGATCTCTCCTGGAACTGAGGGAACCCAAGCTCATGAGGAGGATGCTTTGGGGGATCACAGAGCTCCTATCTCTCTGTGGATCTGTAAGCAAAGCCGCTGTTTCAACAGGACTCGAACATTTTTTTTTTTTTTTTGACATGTTTTATCATGTTTTTAAACACCAGCCTTATCAAAACATTTTATCAGGCCACGAAGTTTCAACATTTGATATATAGCACCTTTGAAGTCAATGGGATAATTACACCAATGAATACCCTAAAACCACTCAAGGTTATAAAGTTAATGGATAATAAAACCATCTAGTCTGCTATCAATAAAACCATAGAAGCTCTATCTTCAAGGCCAGCTGCATCTTGAGGAAATGGAGTACACTAAGAACTGAACTAAGAGCATAACACTGAGCCGGCAAAATACAACAGTTTAGGAAAAGGAGGAAAACTGATATGAATCCACCCAAAGATACTGAGTGATTTCACTTGCAGAAGGATCTTTTTCAGACACTGGGCACTTCCACAGAACTGCCCAGCTTGTAAACTTTTCTTTCATATTTAAAATTGTGTCCCAGTTGTTCTATCATTTCATATATATTTGATGTATATGCTGTTGCTTTAGATTGCCAGCCATGCAGTGAAACACTAGATGGTCTTCATTTCTAGATGCACTAGAATCGCAGTCTCTGCAAAGAGCAAGATTTTCCTTGCTAGCAAGGGTGCACCATTCATAGGGCTGGGCACACGTGGTCTAAATGCCACCTTGGGCATGTGTAAACTGGGCATGAAGAGTTAGCACCCATGAGAGTCCTCGAAGAGATTCAGAGAGCCTGTGCCAGGAGGGACAGGCCCAGACCCAAATCCAGATCAACATAAAGATAGAAATGGATGTGTTTTTCTGGATGGCACAGCAAGTACTGGTATCATGATGTTGCAGCACTGTAGGACTGCAGGACTTCATGGAAGATGAAGAAGGATTAGGGCCAGAAGACTGTAGGAAAGGAAATTCTTCTTCCAGGTAGTCCCAGAGCTGGCCATGACACCATCCAAAAAAGAAGCTAAATATTCCCCAACAAAGAGGAAAGAAAGGGAAAAATAATATCAGGGAAAACACAAGCGCTCAGTGCAGTTCTCTAGGAATGCATCCCTGCTAGTTGTAAGCAATGTTTGGAGAAAGGCCACCACGGCTGAGCTGCCTCTCAGGAGCCCCAAGGGCACAAGAACTTGCAGATGATGCCTGATTCACGCCCCGAGTCGGAGGCGTTACACGTCAGCAAAGCGGATGCAAGATCAGACACAGCCTTTGAACTATCCAGAACAGCAGGAGTTAAGAGGAGAATAATTAGCTCTGGATTTCCTTGAGCAACAGGTTAGCTCCCCCCTCCCAGACTGCATATTTTTGTGCATACACATAGCTCTGTATCAATACACAAGACAGTTGATACAAGTAATGCTACCAAACTCTATATGACTTCCTTTTATCACAGAGCTCACACAACACATACTCAGCCCTTAGTGATTTGTATATGCACCTACATTTTCTGGGGGGAGGTCTCCCTTGAAATAGCAAATTTTCTACCTATTAACCCTCACTTTCCTCCCTGCTAATTATAATCCCTGCCGTCTGAAGCACATGCCTGTTACAGCAGAGCCTGGTAGACTCGTAGAACCATAGAACCCTTAAGGTTGGAAGGGACCTCAGAGGTCATCTCGTCCAACCCCCCTGCTCACGCAGGGTCACCTAGAGCATGTGGCACAGGGCTGCATCCAAGCGGGTTTTAAAGATCTCCAAAGAAGGAGACTCCACAACCTCTCTGGGCGGCCTGTGCCAGGGCTCTGTTACCCTCACTGTCAAGAAGCATTTTCTTAAGTTCCTGTGGAATTTTTGGTGCCTCAGCTTGTGGCCGTTTCCTCTAGTCCTATCACTGTCCACCACTGAAAAGAGGCCGGCCCCCTCCTCCTCACTGCCTCCCCTGAGGTATTTATACACGCTGATCAGGTCCCCCCTCAGCCTTCTCTTCTCCAGGCTGAACAAGCTCAGCTCTCTCAGCCTTTCCTCATAGGGCAGATGCTCCAGGCCCCTGATCATCCTTGTAGCATTAAATGAAGCTTATTAGGAACAGCTTGAGCATGCAGGGACATGACAGACCTTGGGAGATTACAGCAACCTGGGAGGGGCTGCACAAACACGGACAACACGGTGAGAATTCGAATGATGTTGACAAACTGGAAAAGCAATCTGGAAAAAGCAATTGGGCATGGAGCACTAGGAAAAAAAAATGAAAAAAAAAAAAAAAGACTGGGCTAGTACAAGATAATGCTGTAGGCAGCTGCTCTGCAGAAAAGAATTTGGGTCTATAATGAGTCACAGGCTGAGCATAAGCCAAAAATTATTGTGCTATTGGAAAAAGAGAGCAGAAAAGGAAAAGTAAATTTCATCTCCTAATACATAAACCAGAGTGTTGTCAGCAAATACACAAAGTCATCCTCCCCCCTTATTTGTTCAGCATGGTTTCAGGTCAGTTCAAGAAAGTCCAGATCAGCTGAAGAAAGTCTAGAGGGGAGTAAAAAAGAATCAAAGGTCTAAAAATCGTCATCAATATAATTCAGAGAAGAAAAGACTAGGACTTGATGACTGTTTTAAGATAAATTTAAGAGTGCCTGCAACAATAGAGGAAATGAATTGTTTTTCATGTTCACTGCGGGTAAATATTAAATTACGGAAAGCTTCTGGTGGTAAGAGCAGCTCCTCCGAGGCAGATTGCCTCAGAGACCAGAGACTTTGAAGAAGAGATCAAAAACACTGTGTTAAGGAATGTTTTAGACTGATCCTTCCAAGGTTTGAGCCACGAGAGATCCAGGCAACTGCTGGAATCAGCATGGCGCTCACAGCGGTTCCTCCCTCTGCTCTCCGGAGCGGACAAGGTTCCAGTAAGTCATTTGTACCTCCATTTGCAGAAATTATTTAGGGAAAATATCTGAGTTTGTGTGACTACTCCATGCCCAGGGCTACCTCTCATTTCAAGGGCTAGCTTTAGGTGTGTGAGATCAGAGAGGTTAAGGCCCCGACACCAGGCGGGATTGGAAGGATACAGGTCTGGGCTGGGAATCGGGCAGCTGCCGAAGCTGCTCGTGCTCCAGCAAAGGCTGTGACCAGCTGCCTTGTGCATCATCTGCTTACCCCAGGTGGGGTAGGTACATCCACCAAGGAATCCAAGCGCTCCTGAGGGCACACGGGTGACTAATTTGATTTGACAGTGTCCATAGGTGAGAAGGAAGCCAACTGAGACAGTGTCCCTCCTAAGGAGTGGGAAAAAAAGCCTCCGGGGAAGGTCAGGGGTGCATGAAGTGCTTTGCCTCTCCATCTCACCTTACTGGTTGTAATGACAGCTCAAGAGCTGTCTTCAGACAGGTTCTCAGGCTTTGGTCTGCTTTATTGTACTTTGAGGCCTCCTTGTAAACGTCCTCATTGTCCTTGTCTTTATTTTTCACATGTGTTCTTTGCACAGGAGGGGGAAAAATAATCCTGGCCTGATTTTCCACAGCTACTTCACAGCGAGTGTTACTCTGGGTCCGGCTGCTGCAGCAGAAAGGCGCTGCCACACGGCGGGAGGAGATGCCCAGCGCATCTCCCTCCCCTGCTCTTGTGCCTGTGGGACTCGTTCCCTGGGCCGACACTGCAGCCCGCGCTGCGGCCCGGGGCTCCCGCAGCGCCGCCGCCGCCGCAGCGCGGCCGCCCGGCGAGGCCGGGCCCGGCCCTCCGGCGGAGCCGCCCCGAAGCGGCCGCCAGTGGCGCCGCGGGGCGTTGCGGGGCGTTGCGGAGCGTTGCGGGGCGGAGCGCGCGGCCCGGCCCCTCGCCGCGCCGGGGGCGCTAGAAAGGGCGGCGCGGCGGGGGCGGCGGCGGCGGTAGCAGCGGTGACGGCAGCGGCGCGGGAGGCCGGGCCCGCCGGGAGCGAGGGCCGCCATGGCGCTGGATTTCCTCGCTGGATGCGTCGGCGGTGAGGAGGGGAGCGGAGCGGGGCAAGGCGGCGGCGCCGGCCCGCGGCCTGCGGGGCTGAGCGCCGGGGCTGCCCGGGATCGCCTCGCGGCGGGGCGGGCGCTGCAGGCGGGCGGCAGCGGCGGGAGCCCTCTGGGCTGGAGCCGCTTCCAGCCTGCGGATACATCACAGAACAAGCGCCTATATATCGCTCGATATACGTGGCCTATCTTATCTTGCTCTTATCCTCGGTATCGCCTTTTTTATTTGATATTTATTTTTAGTTTTAGCCGTTGTGAGCTTCCCCCCCAAGGCAACGCTGTTTATTGGTCCCTCTCCGTAGTTTCTCTGCTCTCCTTCTCCTCGCCATCCCGCCCGGGCGAGGGCCGCGCATTTTCTGCCTCGCTTTCCCCCAGTCGCGTCTCCGGGATGGACTCGCGCTCGGGCGGTCGCCCCGTGGGCCTTTCCGCGCTGAGCGGGGACAGCTCCCGCGGCCACCCCTGTGCCGGGCCCGTCCTGCCCCTCTGCCGCCCCAGCCGTGTCCTTGGGCAGCCTGGGCCGCTCCATCCCCATGCACGGGCCCGCAAGGGCACAGACCCCTGGGTCAGAGGGGCAGGGACGCGCCGTCTCGTTCCACACGTGTGTGCGGGTACATCCGAGCACTGTTTGTACTCCCTGCTGTGGGCCAAGGACGTGAGGGGCCTTAACTCTTTGCTGTGGAGCGGGAGAGGAGGGAGCTTGTTTTGAGGCTTGTGTCTTTTGATGCCAAACCATGGAGTCGGGTTAAAACAGTTAACTAATGGGTCAGCGTGCGGCTTTCGCGCTGTGTTTGCTCGGGGCCAGCACCCGCTCCCGTGTGACGGAGCGTGGGCGCCTCAGCCCTGCATGGCAGCTTGATGAAGGCATCCAGGATCCCCAGCTCCTGGCTTGCAGGATGCTCCTTAACGTCCTGCCAGTAACACTGGGTGCTTCTCCTCGAGGTTAAAACTCCCGCGGGGACAACCATGGCCCCTGTTCGGGGAAGACAAGTCACCAACTGCCGTTCGTCTCGTTTCAGGTGCTGCCGGAGTGCTCGTGGGACACCCCTTTGACACCGTTAAGGTGGGTTGATTGTGAAATGCTTCTGCCTCTATGTAGGAAACTTGAAGTTATTCCAAGGAACGGGGGAGGAATTAAAATCCGCAGGCACTGTAGAAGCTGTGACAGAAAGCTTGGAATGAGCCTCTTGAGCTATTGTTTATAGACTTGTGGAGTCTCCAGCTCTTCAGAAGTGATTTTCTTTGTGCGTGTCTAACTCAGCCCAGTAACATGACACAAGCTGGCCCAAACCCCAAGTTCAGCAGTATAATAGTGTCCTCAGTTTATTTGGACACATGATCTCGCATTTAATTTAATTTTGTTCTAAGCTTGTTTCTCTGCAGCTGTTTATCACTAACTGCTAAAATAGCCTATACCTGCACTTGTAATACAGACCTCTATTACTAGGTTGAAATATTTGTTCTTGTGGGATTTTTTTGTTTGTTTTCCCTCCCCTCCTCCCCTTCCAAGCTCTGCTACTTGCTCTTCAAACATTAATTTGTTATACTAGCCACTGGGTGCAAGTATAGAAATACCTTTAGCATGAAGCTTGTTTGGAGCCTTTTTTTCCTCCCTTTTTTAAATAGGTGGGTTTTTTTTTTTTTTTAACTTTCCAAGTCAAAACCTGATTTTATTCATTTTCCCGATCCTGTATCGGGTGCATTATGCATGGTTATCCTAAGAGTAGCTAAGTTCTTCAAAGGGAAGATTTTTCTGGAAAGCTTTAAGGCCTTATGAAAGGCCCTTCAACCAGGATCCCTAGTGTTCAAGCCCATTTTTCCAAATGGGATGATGACTGGAGTCACTTTTTGGCAGTCTTTTCCCAAGCCTCTCACTGGAAGAATAGAAGAGGGACTCCAGGATATTCCCTACTATAAGTTAATACACCAGATCACTTGACTGCAGCAGACAGCAATGCCACTTGCCACAGCTATATTTGGACGAGGTCCCTGCCCTACTGGATTTAGCTGTGCAAAGGGCTGATGTTATTACAGAGGTCCTCACCATATTGTATATTCCAGCCACATGGTTAGATCGATGCAGAACATTTCCTAGCTGGTGGATACTGGTTCCTCTCTGTCAAGTGCAAGCTGTTCAAAAAGCAAATATCACATACATGTTTCTCACTCTAGGAGAAATTTGACTGCTAAGTAATTCCGTTGAATTCTTGTAAATATTTTTAGAGATTGTGTTATCCAGACTTGCACTTCTTAAGGCAGTTCAGAAATGGCTTTTTCTCACTCTTCCCCCTTCTCCTGCCAAGTCTTACGTGCTTAACTCATGGTGATGGGTCATTGCACTGAAGCCAGCAAAAATACTAAAATTCCCTGCTCAGACTAAAGTTAAGCATGTGTGTTTCTTTTTAAAGTGGAACAGCTTAGAGTGCATGAAACTAAACACTTAAAGTGTCTGCAAAATTGGGAGTCTAGTGCTAGTAGTCCTAGCAGCTGTATTAATGCAAAATAAGAACCACGTTGGCTTCAGGGGAAAAACCATCTTGATGTACAGTAGAGCAGAGCAGATTGTTTCAAGATGCTTTTACTCCCTTTATTAAATCCAGGGCAGCATTCTCTTTTTCATACCCTTAGGAAGGACAGCATTACCACCCCCAATAGAGAAAATACTGGTTGTGGTCTTAACTGGCTAGCGTAGTCACTACTCTATGTGGGAGAAGTAATGTTAAGACCGGTCTCTTAAAAAATAAAGACATTGTATAAGTTGTTGTGTATGTACATGTGTGTTAAGATTAAGCCTTTCTTTATAATACTGCAGTGTTTAAAGGACTAGTTGACAGACACATTAGATTTTAAGATTTTAACCTAAGTGAACATTGGGAAAGCTGCATAGATCAAGCAAGAAACCCCCTTCGACTTGAAGGGTTTTGTTTTTTTTTTTTTTTTTTCTTTTTTTAACCAGTGATCATGTTTCACAGGCCCCAAATATGAGGAGGGAGGGGGTTGGTGGGACATGCAAGGAGATGAAATCTTTAAAATTGCGCTGAGAAAGCCGCAACTGAGCTGACCTCAGAAAGGGCAAGCTCCCTATCCCTGGTTTGTTGATGAAATGTTTAAAATTGCTTTTTTGCTTTTAACTGCCTTTACTTTCTGAGCTAGGGGCTGTCTTCATTAACAGCAAAAGTGTTACTTTGTTGTAGATGACAGATAAGCCTCATCACGGGAGAGTTACCTAGTAAGTATAGCCCAGGTGAACACTTCTGTTTCTCTCAGTCTTAATTTATTCCAAAATGTAATAGTTCAAATAAAAAAAAAAAAAATGAAAGACATATGAAGCTTTTTCTTTTTTTATTTTTAAGCAACTGATGTGTCCCTCTTATACATCTATGACATGGAGGGAGTGGGGTTTAAATATCCCTGTTTTTAATGTTAAGTCTTGTTCTGGGCCTTCTCTCTGGTATGCATTGCTCCCACATACTGTGGCTCTGAGTATCAGGCATGATGCTGCTGAGCTCCTATCCATTACATATGCTCAAAATGTCATTGCTCAAACTTCTAAATTGCTTTACATGCTATTAAATATTTGGGGGTTTTTGTTTGTTTTAGTCTTGGATCCCTTTGTATGAGTCTTTAGTGGTAAATTACAACATGCTACTATTGGACTTACAGCCTTAGTAACAAAGATTTTCAAGAAGAAGGAGGCAAGATGAAAGGAGACACTGCTCCTTAGGCACTGAATAAAATATAGGGCTTAACTTGGTAAATAATCCACCTTTTATAGTTGTCCATGATATATAAGAGCTCCTTGACTATGGAATAGCCATGACAAATAGTTTCGTGCACATTTCCCACCTCTCTGGCATTCTGCCAATTCATGTAGCCCAAGTGATCATCCCTACTCAAAGGTAGGATTTGTTTCATTGTTGTTAACCTTGGACTTTAGCTTTCTGAAAATTCTAAACATAAAAGAGGGCTTAATTGCTTAATATTTCACAAGTTATTCAGGCAGAAACAAGGGAAGCTGTATTGCCATAGGAAATTCAACCTATATATCATTAACTTGACACTACTAAAAACAAATGTAGAAAAGAGTTAAAATAACAAGGTCCCTAAGGTATAATATTTTCAAGACCCATGCATGTGGCAGTCCTTAACATTAGACAGCCTGGACTTTAAACAATACCAGTAAAACTGTAAATCAATATGCCTTGGTTTGGGGCAAATAGGAAAGCTCCTTAAGAGCTTATAGGGCTGTTGCTTGAGCAATTTTAATACCCCAACCTGAAAAAGCCAGTCCCTCTACTGAAACCTCACTCAGACTCTCCCTGACTCCTGCTACAAGCTTACTTTTAATCCAAAGATGATTTAAAACTTGCACAAATTCCAAAGGCTTGAGGTGAGCACAGTGTTGGTGCATGGCTGGTATACACTGGTGTATGTACTAAAGAGATGCTAAAAATCAATTTTGAGTTGCACAAAGTGGCATGCTGTAGGCATGGTAAAAACACTAATATGTTAACTCTCTTAGGAGAGTTTACTCTCCTAAGAACACTAACCTCAGCATGGGGTTCAGGCAAAGCACGGCTCGTAGCCAGTCTGAACTTATGTCACTTTAAGGGTCTTTCATCATCGTGGTGGTGCTGCTGCTTACTTCAGACTTTTAAAACTTTGGTTGGTTGGTTGGTTGTTTTGCCCTGGATTGCAGCAGCACTGAAGGGCTGATAAGCAGCATCTCTGAAAAATAATAAATCTTTCCGTGCTGAAAATCAAAAACAGATTTCTAACTTTACCATTTCAGCCTTTTGTAAAGGACAAAATTAATGGGAAAAACTAAATTGGTCAACTTCCTTTAAGGTTAAAAAACAGCAAATGGGCCCATCTCACTGTCACCAGTTACAGTAGCATCCATTTGTTCAGCAGGACATACTATTTCAGTTTTGAAGAAGCAAATTGATTATCTGCACCGTAAATTAAATAGGAATTACATATTGTGCATGGCCAATGGAACACCTAACAAAGGCCTAAAACGGCCACAACTTCATGAATCATTTGCTTTCAGCAGGCTAAAAAACAGGCTAAGATTTAAAGGGACAACTATGTTTTTTATCCCTTTTAATAGAAGACATTTTAAGAGCCTCTTTAAATAGGCTCCCCGAAAAATAAGAGCCCTGTTAAGTGGCCCGAGACTGGCAGGCAGACACACTGTTGTTGAAAGTCTCCATTCCTCCAAACCAATTCCTATTTCATGATAAAACTGTAAAGAGTATTTTATAAGATTCAGTATACTGTCAGATTTGTACAGATATTCTTTACCACAGACAGAGTATGGGCAGCTGGAGAAAAAAATGTCCTTGTTTTAGCCAGTACTGGAGAATTTCTATCAGAAACTTTTGAGTTTGTCTACCCCACTGTACTTCCACATTCTGTTTTTCTAGTTTTTCACAAAAATTTGAGTTAATAATCCTCCTCCCTTCATATATTTTCCCTGAAAAATCATTCAAAACCCTGACAAAATATTTTAAGCAATTTTGCACATACGGCATTCTAGTGTCCAGTCTGTGCTCTTACATATGCATACGTTGCTGTAGCAAGTCTCCATATGTGCACAAGACACTAGTTTACCACTTGCACTGCTTTTGACACACAAATCAACATCTCATGCAACTTTTTACAGGTTCGTCTACAAGTTCAAAATGTAGAAAAACCTCTGTACCGTGGGACCTTCCACTGCTTTCAGTCCATCATAAAGCAAGAATCTGTGAGTACAAAATCAATGCCTTTTAAATCTTGTAGCTTTATATATTTTGTATTACAAGGATGAGAATGCTGTTCAAAAAAACCCTGCTAGTATTGCAGAAGAAAATGATATTATGAACCTGACATAACAGCAGAACAGATGGTATAGTTTTGGTACACAACTGAGTATTTTGCACAGGCTGTCTCAGGTTTGGGTGCTTATGTTCAGCATTTTACCAAAAACTTCCTAAAAAGTTTAAAATTTTGACTTGAAATACTTAACTTTTAAAATAGGATAACTAGTTACTTGAATAAGTAATTTACTGAAAACACAAGCCATCTAAGCACTGAGTGAATAAATTGTTTCTGCTGAACCCATAAGACTGTAAGGATGGTGTTAAGCTTTCAGCTACTAAAAAAATGAAGTGCACTATATATAATTTCATAGTTGATCAAGTTTTCATTTCGTCCCCCTCAAAAATATGCAAGTATATATTCACACTGCTAGAAATGTTATTTTAAGATGTTTGTGTCTTAGGCAACAATCAAATTATTATTGCAAAGCAAGGTTGTACTTATCTACTGGATTCCTTTAGGAAGTAAAAACACACGTGAGATCCAGAGAGTACATTTTCTGCGCTGTTTCAGGAGATTATCAGATTATTATATTATTATTATTTAAAAAAAGGTTTTCTTCCTTCTTCCCCCAGGCTTTTGGACTCTATAAAGGCATTGGGTCGCCAATGATGGGACTTACCTTCATTAACGCACTTGTATTTGGTGTACAAGGAAACACCCTTCGCGCTCTTGGAAAAGACACTCCTCTAAACCAGTTTATTGCCGGGGCAGCAGCAGGAGCTATTCAGTGTGTCATCTGCTGCCCCATGGAGTTAGCCAAGACGAGAATGCAGCTTCAAGGAACAGGTGAATACAAGCTAAAGACGAAGAACTACAAAAATTCTCTGGACTGCTTGATCAAAATCTATCGAAAGGAAGGGCTGAGGGGTATCAACAGGGGCATGGTCTCTACGTTCATAAGAGAGACACCAAGCTTTGGCTTCTACTTCCTCACCTATGACTGTATGACCAGATACTTAGGCTGCGAAGCTGAAGACAGTTTCGTTATTCCCAAACTGCTGTTTTCTGGAGGGATATCGGGAATCGTGTCCTGGCTCTCAACCTACCCTGTGGATGTGATCAAATCCCGGCTGCAGGCAGACGGAGTTGGCGGAGTCACCCAGTACAAGGGCATTCTAGACTGTGTCCGGAAGAGTTACCACGACGAAGGCTGGAGGGTGTTCACAAGAGGTCTGACCTCCACCCTTCTCCGCGCTTTTCCCGTTAATGCAGCTACTTTTGCTACTGTCACCGTGTTCCTAATGTACATGAGGTCAGAAGACGACCTCCGGGAGTGCGAGCCAGGCCCTGCAATCCAGCAACCTTCCAGTTTGTGAACGTTACATTTTTCCTCTTGATTCAAAGCTCCCCCCCCCCTTTTTTTTTAATGTAGACACTTGACTTAAAGTGTTGTAAATATATTCTCTCTGTATAAAAATTCCAAAATGCGTCAAAATTAGTGTTTCATCTCATCACTTGTACAAGCAGCATATGGCCTTACTAAGGACCTAATATCTAAATGTATCCACGTAAGATGGGACCTGCCTTTAGAAACTACTGTACAGATATTGCTGTGTGTCCAGAGCAGGATCTGGAGGATGCCACAGTACCAGAAAGCAGTTTTTCTTCCACCCATGTTCTGAGTGACTGAGTTGAATCAAATGCACGAGTGTCTTTAGATTTTTTTTTTTGTGTATATGATAGTCCTATACAGGGAAGCAGGGCTAGGGTGAGAAGTTAAACGTTGAGAGCATTTTGCAGGTACCCCTAAACTGTTTAAGGCATCCTGCAAGCCATGTGCTTCACTCTTCCTCTGTTTTTAGGTCAGTGGTTTTAGTAGCATCTTTGTTCATGTTGGTTAAGAACTGATTTGTTCCTGAGCTATTCTCTCACCTTTCTGCTTTGCATAAGTATCTTAAACACAAACAGAGGTAGCACCTACATTCATGTGCACTCGTTCCTTCAAATTTCCAGGCTAGGAAGGATTTAAGATGACTCAGAACTACCCAGATTATGTTTTTTACCTTCATCTCCATTTCTTACTGGGTGCACAGAATGTATGAACCAGCTTCAGCCCAACTAGATTTTGTTCTCTGAATTGTGTGACTTTGTTACCTGTGTTACTGTTCCAAACGTAGTGGGTGCAATGTTAGCTTAGCAGTTTTAGGTACTAAAGATGTACAGACATCTTTAGCAGTGGAGGTTTCATACCCTTCCAGAAACAGGGGTGCAAGTGTCCGAAATGGTTAACGTTCAATACGCTTGCGTTGTGAATTTAAACAATACTGGTTTTTAAGTGTTTAGTTACAGTGCTACTAGAAGGAAGCAGTCTGTTCAAGATGAATTACTTCAGAGTAGGAGCTATAAACACTTACTAAAGAGAAACCACGACTGTTTTGGCACAAACAGCCATGAGAAACTAGTGCATGGGGTGGGGAATATTTACAAAAGCATCAAGCTCGCTCAGTAAGTAAATCTTGTTACACTTTTGCTTGGGACATGTGCAATATGTGTTTAATTTATATGGATTTTTCTAAAGAAACCTTAATTCATAGCATTTTGCACTGTAACAAAGTATGCTGGAGAAACCTGTAAACTGGTAAAACTTTTTATACCTTGGAGGTATGTCGGATGTTTTAGTGCCTACTTGCACTGAGATTCAAATTGAATGTTAAACATGTCTACTAAGCTGCACATGCACAACGATTCAAAGCAAAGACAATTTACACCTTTGTACAGTAGCCTGTAATTATTGTACATAAAACTGAGGGAATAAATTGTTTTTTTTAAATTGTGACTTGAGTTCCATACAATTTCTTGGGTATTACTTGGATGCCACGTCCTCCTTTCAATCACGGTTTGCCAGAGAGTAGCTTTGGTGGCTTTTACCTGAAGGAACTTGTTATCCCTCTGCCTTCTCTGCACCACCAGGAAGGAAAATCCCTCGAATATATCAGTTTCTTGAAGCAGACAAGGGGAGCTGCCTGGGCTGACTCTTTTTTTGATTTTTTCTTCCAGCAGATACCTTACTTAAAGGCATTATAGCAGTTTGCTAAGAGAACGCTTCTAATTTCAGAGCTAGCCCTCTGCACCCTGCATTTATTCCACCTCAGAGGTGATCTCCTTGGTCTGCCCCAGGGCTGCACAACTCAGAAGTCAAGGCTAAATTCACCCCAGAATTGAGCACTGCTTACAAGGGAGCTGTTCACACTTGAATCAGAGCAGTGATCAGCTCAGAGCTGCCCAAGTTTGATTAGGAGCTTTGCAGGCTGTAGTTTCATTAACATTCAACATTTTTATGGTATGCTCATTCCATTTTTTATGCCTTTTTTTTAACCTGTATTCTGTTCCACTATCAGAGATAATAGGTTTCTCTAAAGGATGAAGCTGCACTTAGAGTTTTTCCCCTTACTGAGGTGACAATGAGACCTCAACACATCTTTCTCTACTCCCAATTTAGACTTTCTCTGTCCTGACTTTATTAAAGCAAATAGCCTTCAGAAAAAAGCTCCACTATTCCAAATGAAACAAACAAAAAACCACCAGGAAAGCTGGATGATGGGGGTTACGACCTATGGGGGGAAAAAAAACCTCACCACAACACATGCTGGCAAGAGGAGAGGTCAGGTCGTGGCTCTGTAAATTCATCTTTTTAAAGGGTAGAAAACACTGAACTGAAATAAAGCCTGACAAGGACCAGCTTGCTGGAAAAGAAAAGGGAAAGACCGTCACTTCTCTGACTAACCGTGACAAGGGCCACTTCTATTCAAGCACTTGTTGCTCCTGCTGAGAGTGCACAAACTTTGAACTCTGGCACAAAAACAAAGGCTTGGATCAAATGAACAGCTTCTTCAGGAAGACAATCCTTTGAAGAGAGAGTAGCACCAATAAAACAGAAAGGGCTACACAGTATTTTACTCAATACTTCCTAAAACAGCCCTTCCAGTCAGTCATGTATATCTTAAAATAATTAGTAGCAGGCTGTTAAAGCTACTGATACAACATAATAAAGAAGTTTAAAGGGAAGATAAAAGAGATGCCGCCCTGTCCTGATGTCAGCTGCTTGAAACCTGTGCTTCGTCCAGCTGATAAATCCAGCTAGACCAATCCCAGAATCACGGAATGGTTGAGGTTGGAAGGGACCTCTAGAGATCATCTAGTCCAATCCCGCTGCTCCAGCAGGGACACCCAGAGCACGGGGTGGCATCCAGGTGGGTTTGGAAGATCTCCAGAGAAGGAGATTCCACAGCCTCCCTGGGCAGCCTGTTCCAGGGCTCTGTCACCCTCACAGGAAAGAAGTTCTTCCTCACATGGAGATGGAACTTCCTGTGTTGCAACTTGTACCCACTACCCCCTGTCCTGTCACAGGCCACCACCAAGAAGAGTTTGGTCTCCTCCTCCTAACATTCTCCCCTCAGGTTCCTATACATATTGATCAGATCTCCTCTCAGTCTTCTCCAGGCTAAACAGGTCCAGCTTGCTTAGTCTTTCCTCGTAACATAGATAACCTCATTCTTTTTGTTATGCTCAGTGTTTGAAACAGCTTCACCTTCCAGGGAGCAGCACTACTACTGGACAACACAACTTACGTTCTGCCTTCCTCCAGTCCAAGCACGTGCTAAGATCTCTGTTCCAGGGGTCTGTAAAACCTGAACAAAGTTCAGTGAAGGTCAGTTCACTGTAGCAGGACTCTCTACCTATCTGAAGAAGGTTCCAGGTCCAGGCAGAGAAGAAATTAAAAAAAAATTGTTAAATGCTCCATCCCATAGCACTGCTACGCTGATTTTCCTGTTCCCTTTGAACAATGGGAACAGAAGAGAGGGCACTGCCACACCAAGTGCATCAGTCAGCGACAGCTTTGATATTTTTACAGGGTACCATGAGAAGAATGTTGCTGACAAAGAGGCTGATCAGCCTCCACTCCAGCCGCTCCTCCCTTCTCCTGACACATCCGTCACCTCAGCTACATCCAGCGTAAATGTCTTCTGCCTCCCCAGATGCAGACACTGGCATCTCCCACTGGCATTGTGACTGGTAGGAGAAGCTCTATTAATATCCCAACAGCTGAAGGGAATCAGCAGGTAAAACGCAGCCACCATCAGCCATTCTGCCTGTGCACACACAGCGAGCACAAGCTCCAAGCCACTACATACCTACCACATACGTATCGCTGGCAGGAGGAGCTGGCAGACACTGGTTGGAACGGGAGGTATTATAGCAGATACATCACCAAAGCAAATATAGAGAACAAATTGATACAGCCACAAAAACATTGGAAATCACATTTCCTTAGTTCCCTCTCTTCCCCTGCACCCGGGACACAGAGATTAGGTATTGAAGCCTGTACTTGTAAGGCCAGCTATGAGCTTTGTGTTCTGGATGAGGTGAACAGGAATCTCAGGATTAAGGCCTTCAATCTGCAACAAAAACTCCTCAGCACAGGTAGGCCTCATTCAGACAACACTAAAGTAGCTTTCACTTCAGATGAAGGGAGCGCCACCCCTGCACTTGAGCCCAAAACCAACCCAGCACTCACCACTCTCCCAAGAGCTGCACAGAGGGCTCAGGAGAAACAGCAGCCAGGCCTATCTGTGCCGCTTCATTATAACCGAGAGCCACTGCTCTAATATTTTCTTGATCCATCCTGTTATTGAATTACAGGCTGTGGCCAGAATGCTAGCACAGGAGGGAAAAGCAAGTGCACATCCATGCAGCCCACCCCAGCGCTGAAAACAGGAACCTGGGATCTGACGTCCCAGCAAAGTAGAGCAAACTTGTAGGGAAGTTTGAAGGTGAAGGATTCTCACACTATGAAAACATTTCCATGACACATTACACTATTACTACTACTCTAGATGCTGTTGAGCTCAAGATTTTGAAGAGGTCACTGTAGAAAATCTACTGGGCTGAAATTCAATGCATTTATTACATCTGTCATGACAACATAACAGAATTCATGGTTTGCTTGTTTTCTCTTCATTGCATTTCTTTGCATGTGTCCTGTTTCTTTTTCAAAAAAATAACCAGTTGACATGATGAAAAACTTCGGGTATGCACATTTTGCGTGCGGGACAGGGAGCATACTGAGAAAGCTAGGACTTAAAACAGAAAAGTTGACCTTGCAGAGAAGAAACGTGTTTATTCTGTGAAATTAAATAAATTTACTGTTACACTGGAAAACAAGTACTCGCGGCTGTTGTTTTCAGACTTTTGATATACATAGTTAAAGAACAACTTAGTGGCCACAAGCGTGCCAAACTCCATTAGATTAGCAGAAGGTGCACTTAAATACCTTTTCTACACAGCAAAGTGCCAGAGAAAATATGAAGTTACCCAAGCCAATCTATGCCATACCAAGCACTACAATCATGAAGGTAGATGAAGGATATAAGGGCTCATATGGCTCTGGGAGGCACAGCAAGCCAGTAAAGAACCAGAAGGTCAAACCTACTGCAAATCAGTTCTCAAATAATAACTAAGAAAATTATTTGTTTCAGTGTTCAAGTCAACAGGAATTTATACGTGTTGCTAGGTGGACAAGGACAGCAGAGGAAAATAATACAACTCAATGCAACTGTTTCATAATTTTTGTCCCAGTGCTGTCCCTATTGATTAGAGCTTATCATTACTTATCATTAACAATGAGAAAACATGCAAAAAATAGGGGTAATATATGCAATATGAAGTGAATTGAACTAGAATGTAATTTTGAATTAAATAATTTGATCAGAAAATAAATTCTAAGCAAGCAGGATAAGATGTGCAGTAATAAAACAATACCCTAAAATGGAAACCAATATTACCAGGAGAGAGGCAAATTTGGAAGTACATAAACAATTTTCAGGCCTATAAAAATACATTTGCAGTTGGGTTTATAATAAATAATGATACCAGGAAGCAATTTAACATTTTCTTTCCCCTCACTGAAAGAGCCACCTCTACTTTTCTAATACAGCAATAAAAATGAGATGTACCACTTGAACCATATCCTTATTTCTACCAACAAAATACTAATAATGAAAATGAACCTCATGCTTTGCTAATGCACTGTTTGCAACAAATATTAAATAAGTAGGAACAACTATTGCTAGACTAAGTTGGTCTGGCTAGGGCGAGGCTTGTAGGAAAGAAACCTAATGCTCTTTTTCTAGGATCTGACTTAACTGCCGTCTTTATTCTAAATGAGCAATATTCGTGTGTTCTAGCAAAGTAAGCCACGTTCCTTAGTCTGTTTAGGAACAAAGAGTGAAGGATTCCTTGCCCAAAGGGCAATTCTTTTATTTTGTAGAGGAAAAGGAAACTTTTATCTCATTAAAATTAAGTTGATACACAAGTTGCATCAAGCCACACATTAGGTAATCAATCACACACCAAATTTAGCAAGCCAAAATTGCTCCTGGCAATATTTGTGAGGTCCTTGGCAAATACCTTGCAGTTCTGAAGGACGGCCGACTATGAATCAATCATTCATTTCATAAAACTGTAACCAAAAAAGCAATATTCCTACAGATTTGTCCCACAGCTGATTGATGGGATGAGCTTTGGCTGAAGTACATTAGGACATACCCATTCAAGCAGCTTTCCTCTGTATGGATTTTACACGATTTAACAAGGAGTCTAGCTCATGCCTCCATCTTTCTCTGCTCTATACTTTATCTCATAATTTATTTATTTAAACATTTCTCAGAAAAAGCATCCCTTTTAAATACACATTTTTGCGTGCCTGCTTGAGAAACTCAAGGGAATCCACCCTAATGGCTCTGCAGTGATCTCTGCAAATCACTGCCGCCGCAAAACACTGGTATTTTACAGCACTCATTAACATGGTATCATTTATTAACAGCACACTAAAGAGAGAAGCAGAAATCTAGTAAAGATACTTGTTACTCATCTTGAATCTGCACTCAGATTTGGAGAGAGGTTCCCCCCCCCCCCCCCCCCGAAATGCAAGGAGGTCCATGTCATGCTGAAGGTTTTTTTTATTCACATTTCACATGTACTGTTGCTCTGGTGGCTCTTTCAATGAACATGCAGTAAGCAGGGGACTGCCAGAGGCCAACATAGCTGAACTTCTCACTTTCATGCTGGTGTGGGGGAAAACTGCTCTCTGACACTGACGTGTTCCAAGTCTGTCACGGCCTACCTAGGCCTCCCTTCCCAAACTACAGGAATCCCTCTCCTCATCAGCTTGGTCTCATCAAGGCGGCCTGACATTGCAATTCTGGCTACTACTGATTAAATGAACTGGTAATTACAAGGCCATCTCCTGGAAAATTATCAATCAAGAATTTCTGCACAGGCTGAAATACAGACTTGTCATGGATCCTACCCATGGGGCATGGAAACTCGAGTGAAACTTTTCTTACGCTTATAAGAAGTATTCAAGTAAGAAAGTGAGAGAAAGATCCAGATATCCTGCAAGAACCCCACAGTGGTTCCTTCTCCTCCCTTCCCTTCCAAAATGGACCTTTCTACAGAACTCAAAGCCTACCTCTGAAGGGAGCTTCCAGGTTATACAGGAACCCAGTGAGAAGAGCAGCTCAGAAGAGACGTATGTCCATCTCAACACAGAATCAAAAGGATAGTCCATGAGAAATTACGGTATCTGATATTAAAGCCTTTCTGCCATAAGTAGCAGAAGACTTGGAAAGAAAACCTAAAAATTGAGTTGTGTAAACAGTAATTGCTAGAGATAATCTCTTATTCATTCATCTAAAGCAAAACTGTGGTCTTGCTGCTGCTTTATGGGAACCTAGGCTTTAATGGACCTTCTGAAATTTAGTATATTCCAAACTACTCAAATGAAGTGACTGCAACATTTCCAAAGCTGCCTTAACATACGATTATTTTAAGTATACATAAATTTGCCTGAGCTAGTTTAGTTTGGGAAAAGGAGAATGAACCTCCTTATGGGATCATCAGCTAAATTCTCTTATAAATCAAAGCCTGTTGCCATGTCGGTGAAATTTCAGTATTGCTGTAAGGCTGTTTTCACACTCCCGGTTTTCTACAATGCAATACTAGATCAATTCATATAATCAAGATGAGTAAGACAAACATACATTCTTCCTTTAGTTTATTTGTACCTTTCTGGATCTTTACTTTGATCTTTCAACTTGTGTGGCTTCTCATGCCCTCTTCCTCATATCATTCTGTCATTCTTCTGCCCCGGGATTGCCAAAACAAATTTACTTAAGAAAAATATTCTTCCCTCTTCCCAAGGAAATGCTACTTAGTAGCTACAACATTTACACAGCTATGAAGAATCATGCTGCTTCCAAGCACAACTTTTATTTACTCGTGCCTGCCAGTTTTACTCCCAGCGTTCAATTTTGAAAGCCACCACACGCCCTACTGCTTTTGAAAGACTTGATTTCCCACAGCTTTAAGCAATACCGGAGCAATAAAGTTATAAAGAATTCCTGGCTTAACGCTAATGCAGAAATTTACTCCCTTTGCTCTCTCATGATAACGCAGACTTAAGAAAGATGCAGCATAGTTGGAAAGGTTATTAAGTTATTTCAGATATAGTTGTTATGGTTGGAGCAGATCAAAGCCAGAAACAAGTTCTGCAGGCTTGAATCGAACTTCTTGGATTGACTTGTTTAGCAGCACTGACAAAATAGCGACTAACCGAACGTAACAGAATGAGTACATTCAATGAATGTACTCATTGAATAGCACCCCCAAGTTTATCCTTATCATCTGAATGGAAAGACATGTAACTTCCAGTCTCTCCGGGACAGGTACTGATGATACCTGTGTTGCATGCACCTTAGGGGAGATAATCATATGGAAACATCTTTTATGTCTCATTGTCAGCGCCTTTAAATCTAGCACTCTGAAAGGATTTGTTTCCTTCAAACATTTTAAAGCCTATTAAGTTTGCCAATCATTGAACTAGCAGAGAAAAACCACCTCTACCATTAAAATCACTGGCAGCTACACTATTGTACTGTATTTAGTATACAGCTCTGTGAGCAGACAAATTATGGCCGAGATGAAAATGTGTATTACCAGATGGTGCTACCTCAAAGCAAGAGCAATCCTATTGGTCAAAACAAACAAACAAACAAACAAACAAAAAACCCCTAAGATCGAGTACAAATGTAGCTGAGGCCTTAGTAAACAAGAATCATTTATCCTTAGTTCTGTTTCACTATGAATTTATTCACTTACCATCTCAAAGTTCTATCTGGGCTCCTTCTACTTGCTGTTCAAAAAAAATTGTCTCTAAAAATAAAGGATAATTTAAGTTCCATTTTTCTTGCATTTAAGGCATAAAGCTGCTATTACTGGCACAACACAGAGAGCTGCAAAAGTCTGTGTTAGTTCTTCCTTTTGAAAGGCTCTCAGTCCAAGAGATACAAAGTCCCAAGTACAGCTGCAGAAATTTTCTCCTATTTTGGCTGCAGGAGAACTAAATAACATGAAAAGTAAGATAAAATGAGCAATTAAAAAAAAGCCTGATGTATATGTTCTGAAATCTTTTGCCAGTTACAAAACTGCTGGCCATATTTCTCCCACCCCTTAGATTCTCCTCTCCTTACCTGAACTTGCTGCTAAGACAGCAGTGTAAGTGCAGGCTCCTGTGGAGAGCAGGTTCACAAGGGTGGTTTCAAAGGCAATTCTGTTGCTATTCCCAAAGGTTGCAACTTCTTCACTCAAAAGCCTGTAAGGAGAACTCTAGAAGCAACTATGTGTGAAATTTTAAAGGACAAGATGTGCCAACTGTACTTTAAATGCTTAAATAATTTACAGAAGCTGCTCAGTGTAAGGATTTATTCATTCTCAGTATGGAATTCACCAGTTACAAATAAACAAAAACCCAAAACACACAGAAACAAACAAAGCCAAAACAAAACCACACGCACCACTCTCCTGCAACTGAATTCACTTTGACTCAGGAGCATCCTGGATGCTAGCAATTCAGAGAGAGGTCTGTAGCCCCAATGATCTCCCCTTAAGAGATGCTATATAGAGATAACGCAAATTTTAGCTCCTACTTAATATTCAAATTAGTACTGACCACATATAACTTGGTCTCAAAGGCAGGTTTAAGGATGAAGTAGAGACAACCAAGGAATACTTTTATTTTGCAGCTCAATAAAAGTGGTTAATGATTTACCTCCCTAGAAAGCAGACCTCTGAATAAGACTAGCACCTTCTTATACAGTATTTAAAGAAATGTAAGGTCAATTAGGACTAGACTGAACTGTTTTTATTTCCTTCCAAACAGAATAGACACTAATTTAACTGCATACAGAATTTAAGTTAGTTAACTATACACATTTCATATATTGCCCTGTTCAAGAACCTCTTATAAAAAAAAAAAAAGACTGCCAAATTTTTAATGCATACTTTACATTTAAATGTCCCCATCTTGCTTTCCACCCCTAAAACTGATTAGCGCTGTGGTGTCCACAGTAACTCTTATACACACGAGACATCTCCTGCTTTTCCTAGGTTGACCTTCATGTTACCCATGTTTTTCACCACCACCAGAACTTGACTCAAAATTAAGTTTTAGTGTAATAACCATTTGATGAAAAGTTTGATAAACTTTTTAAGAACAGAATTCAGAAAAGACAACAGGTTCACAATAAAACAGATCTCACATTCCTCTAAAAAAAAAAATACTTATGCATTTCTGTGCATATTCTTGTGTTTATTAGTCTGTCACATGTTACTATAGTATCTGCAAATTTCTTACTCTGAACACTTGAACAAACAAGTAGCAACCACTTTTAGTTAGACCATCAGAACTCCATCAAATTATTTTAGAGAACTTTTAAGTTCTTACTTTAAAGTAAAAGGGGATCAAGGAGGTTCTAGGATTTTTCGTTATTCTATCTAGTCAAACAAGTTAGCCAAAAGAATATAGTTTTTTTTTTTCCTGGAATTACCACTCAAGCCCTACTGTTCCAGCGCTCTATACTGCCATTGAATTTAAACCTCCAGGGTTCCTTACCTTGACTAAGCAAGGGCGCCCGGATAGCTACACACTGCCCTGTCCCCCTACCTGCTGTCCAGGCTCCCTGACAGCTCCTTTACGACACCGCCACGTCTCCAAACCCCCACTGCAGTCAGTGAAAGTCTAGGTCACTCAGCAAACCCAGAGGTACAGGCACCAGTTGTTTGGGCACATCGACTCATGGGGCATCATGCAATTTCATTGCATTCAATTACAATGATTTGTCAAGTAAAGGAAACTTGAGTTTATTTAACTTCCAATTTCTGGGAGGTTCAAGAGGAACTGGAATTGCTCTGGACAACAAAAGAAAATAGACTGTGCTTACAGATCATTTTCTGCCATATTCTTTCTTTCGGACCACTGTTTTATTGTTGCCCCTTCTATTACATGGGATGTACATATTATCAGGTGTTAATAAAAGGTCAGTGCCTGTACAATACATTCTACAACTGAGCACCACTTTCCGTAACTGAACAGGCAAAGAAATTACACTGAACATCAGCATCTGGCAGTATTTTTCCAAAAAAAGTGACTAAAATGGGTTTAAATTGATTAACACTATTAAATCACATCTAATATTTGATACTACATGATTTCATTACAGCTATACGATACAATTATACAAAATGTGTTAACATCAAAGAATACAACCAAAATTAAGATAGCAAACAAAACCTATATAACTTTTTTTTCTTTACAGGAAAATACTTTTGAAGTATGCATGTAACTGCCCATTCTTTTAAAGAAAATCTACTGCAAGCAAAGTTATCAACCTCCAGAAAAATCACACATAGCATTACTAAGCATATCCCCAAAAAGTGTACAATATGCACACTTGGAAAATACAAAATTAAAAAAATCGTAAGCAACAGGTGAGCTTCATATTTATAAGAATGTGAAAAGAAGTCCAATTTTAGCACTGTTGTATAAAGAATTGTCTTTTTGACGCAAGTTCATGAACAGACCCCTCCGGTCGGAGCCGCACTTTACAAAACACCGTGTTCTTGAAACGGGATTACAGAGCAAGGTAGAGCATCTTAGCAACGTCACCTTAAAGTTTTGTTGTGTGTTTTTTTGCTTTTTATTTACTACTTATCAAAACACGTCCTTTAGGTTTGTAGGGTTCTTTTTTTTAAAATTCTTTCCTAGAAACAATATACAAAGGGGAGGCATATTTATTCTCGATCATTCTCCTGTAAGATGCTTTGAGTTCAAGAACTTTCTCCTCCTATTTTCACTGGTTGTTTTTGGCCTTAGCGTGTGTTAAGATGTGAGATTTCAGGTTAGTTGATTGCGCAAACTTCTTATTGCAGCCGTCAAATGGGCAAACGTAGGGCCTGTCGCCAGTATGAATTCGCACGTGTGTGCGTAAATTGAAGTCCAGTGAAAAACGCTTTCCACATCCTTCAAACGTGCACTGTTGAAAGGAAAAGACAATGCCATTAGCTAACCAAAACAGCTGCCATTAATCACCGACTAAATCATTCCCCTTTCAATCGCTAGGCTGCACGACCTCGAGGCCGGAAGATCATTCTCACAAAAAAGAGAGCCAGTAAAAATTAGGTAGGAAGTTAACTTGATGCAATACAATGAGGCAGTGGGCTTTAAAAAAAGAAAACTAGTACCTCAGGTTGTTTCATCACAGTAGTAAACCAACTTCTAATCTAAAGAGAAAAATAACTTTGAGCTCGCAAGCAAATATATCCAAAAAAACAAAAATCACTCTGTGCCTCAAATGGTATTTTGTTGCATTATACCAGAAAACAAACGCAATGTTTCACAACGTAATTTCAGTGACAGATCTGCTCCTTTTACCAGCTTCACATTGAAGATAGGCTCAGAGCACCAAGGATAGCATGTCTGTCAGCCGGAATTTATAATGAATGAATTTATAATATTTGCTCCAGCAAAAGCAAGTGAGGACTGCAAATCAAATTTCTGGCAATGTTCCTTTCTCCAAGACACTAAACAACACACACATGTAACAGGCAGCTCTTCTGCTCAAGACTCTGAGGCACCGTGAAGGACATTTACACAAAAACACCATACGAAGTAGCCTGGGGACCTCTGGTGGCAGAAGCTCATGTGAGTGACTTGGTAGGAATGGAGACAAATTCAGTTTGGAAGGTCATTTTGTTAGAAGCCAATTAATAATCAACACTAAAGATTAGTAGGATGAGCTAACAGAGCTAAGAGCCGTGGGAGCCATGTGTCCATTGCCATAAGTTGAAGAAGGGGAAGAGGAGCTTCATTTTTAAAGTGGCTTGCTTTATATATATAATGTAAAATACCTCACAGATACAAATCTTTTTCTGATTTCTATCAGAAATAAAGGGCAGCCTAATTAGCTTAAAATTAAGTCTTTCAAATAATTTAACATGATGATCCAGTGTCTTACCTGGTTTAGAAGAAAAGCATTATCCCCAAAGCCAAGCAAAAGCTAGGTTAGAGTTATAGTCTCTAGATATTATAATTAATGAACAGAAGCAATTACGCCTGGAAGTTACCCATACCTGAAAGGGCTTCTCTCCAGTATGAACTAGCTGATGTCTCTTTAATTTGGAGCTCTCCACAAAGGCCTTGCCACATTCTGCACATACATGTACTCGAGGGCCATGGGTGTGAAGATGCTTCCTCATGGCAGAGTTGTCCCTGAACATCTTTGTGCAGCCCTTAAAGAGAAGGGTGAAACTCAATTAGTAGATAAGCCAGTTCTGATATACAAAGTTTTATCTGTTACAGCAAAAATGTTTTTATATTCTGAAAATCTTAAAAGTTGGCCCTGAAAAGTTGGTCCCATACCCTGATTTAAAAGAGCAATCCCATGAAAACTACTCATTTGAGAAGCCGACAAAACAAAGCAAAAAACAACCACTTTCTCCTCACTGAATATTATGAACCGTATGCAGTCAAATAATATAACAGTCTTATGGAGAAGATGCAGTCTAATAGAAGCAAATGACCTGAAGAAAAGCCCTTATGGTCTTAAAAAAATGCCAAAGATAGAATGATAGAGTTCATGCATATTTAGGGTGTGTTTTCTCCTATGTCCTATATTCTGGAGTACTAGAGAACTACCCCAATGGCGTATTATGACCTCTAATACACTACGGAATATTTTCAAGGTACCAGGAGGCATCTGCATCACTATCTCCTAACACTCCACACTTTTCTTCTCTGGATAAGAACATATCCACCTGGATAAGAACAGAAGGAACTACTACTGTTTCTGCTGCTACAGCTTAAACCTACAACATACTGGGGAAGAGACTAAGACAGGAGCACCTCTGAGGCAGGGCCAGCTCAGCCTAAAAGCAGACACTTGCTTATTAGCTCAGGTGCAGAGGCAGAAGTCTTAATCTGGCACCTGCGGTACATTCTGTATTGATGCAGAACTGTATTTGTGATTCCAAAACTTAGAACAGTTGCAGCCTAGAACTTTTTACTACATTAAATTAAAAATAAATAAAAACAATAAGCCCCCCCACCAACTATTATTACACTGCATCTTAATGATATCTACAATAGATATCTATATTTTTTAAAGATCCTTCTCTAGGTATAAAATGCTTCCTGAGATCTTATTAAAAATTTTAAATTCCATGTGTAGTTCTAGTACTGCTGTTTAAGCTTAAAACTAGCTTACCAGAGTGGTATGACAAAAACAGTTCAAAAGCAGAATATAAATGGACTATTGACTGTTATACTTCCAATCTTGCAGACTGCTTCTTTGGAACTTGTTTTCTTCAAAACTTACAACCATATTTAAACATGCCTTATTTCTTGAGAAGGAAAGAATTACCACTTTCCAGAGGAGCTTCCCCAGGCACTAAAATTTCTTCAGCTAATTTGAAAAGTGCTGTGCCACTATTCATCACATATCAGAGAAGTGGGTGGGATAAAAAAGGCGCCTGAGCACACAATGAACCTGTTCGCATTCATTTTAAGTCCCTACTTTCCACTGAGAGCAGCAGTCATGTTTTCTGCAACTGTTTTTTTAAGCCAAAGTCAAACACACACCAGCACAGGAATTCTAGTAGAGAGGAGATGGAAGGATAGGATATTCTTTATTATCCTATTTAGATGAAGTCGAGGCTACGAAAAAGTAAATCAAAGAAATGATAATAACATTCCTTAGTAGTGTAAGGCATAAGCATTCCTTCTCAGATAAGCTAATCCTGTAGCTTCACGTACAATACAGTGAATTAATGACATATGTAGAATATGAAGGATTGGAAATCAAACAAAAAGAAAACTTCTCAGCCCAAAATGACAACTGATCAAGCTATAGCTGGCAGAAAGAAGCCTTCTATTAATGCTCTCCTATTAGCTGTCTGCCCTGAGTATGTGCTTAGGCTCACAGCATCTAGACCAGAAGTCAGCAAGATTGCCTTTTCCCATTACAGGGTAAATCAGCTAACAGAAGCTCTTCAGAAGCTGGGTGCTGCAGTAGATCTGGATGCCACCAACCTAAGTGACAAGCAACATCTATCCACCACGCAAGCCTCCCAGCTGGCTCAGAATCGGTAGCTCCCAGATGCCTCTCAAGATGATGCATCTTCCAGCTCTGCAGAACACATATCAAAGTCTTTCAATACGCCAACTTTGGCATCTACACCATAGATTGCTGATTCCTGATCTAGATTCCCAATGTGTCATAACTTCCAAGCAGAGGATATATAGATATCTTAGGAACGTACTTTGAACAGCTTTCAGAACATTCTTTCAAGTATGTATTCTTGAGTGGCAGGAAATCACAACAGTAAAACCAGCATGTTAGGGACTGTGCATCATGGTTACCAGAAGATTAGGGATGCACTAACCTTAAGACAAGGAATGGGAATAATATATTATTCAGTGAAAGGTTTTTAAGGAAGCCTCTAAAGAGTGATAATTCAAATACAGTTAACTGAGTATAATCTATTTATAATAAGATATTTTACTTGTACATTCTCAAAAGAAAACAGCAACACAAAATTGTTCTAAAAATTACTACCCACTCAGAATGTTGAGAGCTTCACTTACTTTGTGAGGACAAGCTATCGTTCTTGGAGCATCATCTTCTTTAATTTTTCTTGGCTTCATTCTTAAAGATAAAAAAGGAGAAATATTAGTAGATAACTCCTCTCCCACTGCTGTTTGCATATGCAGAGACTTATTCAACAGTACCACATGCATTAGCAGTATTCAGAGTTTAATATTTTTAAACAGTACAATAATATTAACAGGGTACTTTGGCAATCTGAAAGTTTGGCTTTTCCAGAAGCACCTCTCAAATACAAAATTCTACCTTTAATACAAAATTCTACCTTTCTAGTTCTCTGAACATGTGGGAAGAGAGGTTTTTGCTAGCTTGCCCTAACTACAGTTTAGAGGTTTGACGACTCCAGTTTTGTCATGTCTGTATCCATGTGGCCTGTGTATCTTCACTTGCCCTCCCATCCCTGCCTGGGACTCAGAAGGCAGCAGAACTCAATCATTGGGCAGCAGTTCTCCAAGTCAGAGTCCAGAAAATACCTCTGCAGAGGCAAGGCAGGCAGGCAAGCTGTGGAATCTACACAGACAATGTTATAACCATGGAAATGTACGGGTCATTCTTGCTCTACATCACTGCATACGTGGATCCTACTCTTAACAACTGAGAAGCAGTCACCAATTTACCTTCACTGACTGGCAAGGATATTCACTACTACTTCAAGGACGCCCACCGACAGCCCCCGTTACCTATACAGAAAACACAGCAAGCTAATGCCTACATCTAAATTAGGTGTTTCATACATATTCCTAAGACGCACTGTAAGCAATCTTTTCAGAAGAGTCCTGCTTTAACACTTATCAGTCTGGATGCCTCAAGAATGTCATATACATGGACATCACCCATTTACCTAATGTTACTTGAAAACCTGTCTTGAAAACCAGAAAGAGATGGCTTAGCTACTGGTGGAGCAAGCTCCAACTGGAGCAGGGAGGTGTCAATGATGACTCGTAAGTGCATCCTTCCTGTGCAACGTGCTCTAGGTGACACTGTGGAGCAGGACTAGGTGATCTCCTGAGGTCCCTTTCAACCTCAACCACATCGTGGAGTTTCTGAACTGTTTTCCCAATAATATAGTAAGAGATTCTATGTCATTGATATGGAACAGAGATTCTTCCTAAACTAAATGAAAAATTTTATTTCCTCCCCACCCCCACCTAAGTTAAATAGATGAGTGTCTTGAATTCAGCAAAATAATTAAAATAACCAGAATCACTATTTTTAGCATTAGGACAATTCTTGAAAAGAGATATGGAAGAACGGGAGAAGAATCTGCCTCCCTGCAGACAGCTCCAGTGTTGGTTGATGCTGCTGCATTCCTGTGACTATGGCTGAAGTCTGTGGTTGCACCCGCCTTCTTCATGTGCATTGATGAGAGACAACAGGCCTGGGGGCCCTGTGAGGATGACTGAAGGCCAGGACAGTGAAAGGCATCCCTGAGAATTCCTGAGGAGCAGATCCAGCAAGATCTCCTTACAACTGCCAGTGGAGACACACGAGGGAAAAGTTTTCTGTGGTGCTGGGTTATCACTTGAACATCAGACACAACCCATAGTTTCTCTCTACGTTGCAGATGAAGCACAGTTCAAGTGATCACAGTTCAAGCGATCACAGTTAAAGTGATGTGATGGGCAGAGCACTTGACAGGCAGCCACAGAGAAATAAAACACAAAAGAATTCTGTGGTTGGGTTGATTTTTGTTCATTTTGTTTTGCTTTTGGACATTTAAAAATAACTTCTGCTCAGCATTTCCAGGTTACATGAGTACGTACACTGCTACCTGAAGAACACTGCAACCCACAAGGGTTACTGTATGGATCAACATAAGCAGCACACCTAAAGATTCCATCAATTAAAGGACACAGCTGACATTCTGAACACAGGAAGTTGTTTCTGTTCTTATAAACTACCCTAGAAAATGGGCACACAGGAGAAAGCTTTGAGAATATGGGGCCTTAGGGCATCAGGACAACACGCACAAAGTAAGACACAAGTCCTAGCTCAACATTAGAAAAAAGTTCTTTTCTGTGAGGATAACAGAGCACTGGAATGTGTTGCCCACAGAACGTGTGGAGTCTCCTCCAGCGAGAGATTCAAAAATCATCTGGACAAAATCCTTGGAAACACACTTGAGGTGACCCTGTCGAACAGGGAGTTGGACAGGATGCTCTCCACAGGTCTCTTCCAACCCCATCCCTTCTGTGATTCTGTAACAGTGCCATTGTCAATCACACTGGAGAACAAGCGTTCTCAGAGGATAAAGATGGTCCAAAAAATACTTCCTTTACTTCCAATGCTACCAACTTGCTTTATGTTGTCCAAGTCCCTTTTCAAGGAGAAAAATAAATAAACATTAAGCCCCAAAACTATGCTCATAATACCATCAGAACCTCAAAAACTCAGTGTTCTGAGATTATAAGTGACCACCTTTAAAGAGATGGATTAGATAAAGAGAAAACAGTACTGAGAGAGATGGTGAACTGCTTCGGTGGGTAGCACTTACAGTTTTTCACTTGCCATGGGATACCACCCATCACCACTGTGTTAAGTCCTGTCCCTAACTATTGCATCTCACCTCTGGTTTTGAAGCAACCTGCTGTGACACAGTCATCCACAACAGGCTGCTGAAGTGGAGTGAGAAAGAGAGAACACCCTGGTCAGCACAGTCAGGGAGATTTATGTGCAGTCTGGCAGCAGGGGATACAAATCTCAGCTGAACTGGATGGTCAGACATGGGACTGACTGGAGTTTTACTCAACGCTTACCTGTATTTTCCAGTTCAGTGTCAAAGCAGCTGAGAAACGGGGCCCTTTGCGCACTAACGACACAAGGGCATGTACAACACAGGCCCAACTCCTACAGTTGGGCAGAAGTCCAATCCTGCTCTCGAGAGAGTGGGATCCATGTGTAGAATCACTCAAAGAAGAATGTAAAGACTTTTTATGTTCAAATGAATTTGGAAAAAAAGAAATTGGTCTTATTTTAAAATTAACTTTCTGCAAAAGGAGATCAGACTAGAACCTGGGCTGCTGATCTCAGTTACACTCAGTTACACCACCGCTTGCTGGTGGTGAGACTTTTGGCTCCCACCCAGAAGAGCCTCTCTACCAGCTCCATCCAGGTTTTCTTAGCCTGAAACATTAATCAAAAACAAAACTCTAATGCATGCCACTATTTAAAACAAATGTGGACACACATTAACCGCCTGGGTGGAACTTTCAAAATGGCAGCTGCCTTTGCAGAAAATCAATTTACATTGCAAGACCAGAATTTGTATTTCTGCAGTGAATTTGTTTAGGCCTTTTCTAGCAATAACAACTGCTTTCTGGAAACAACAAGGGAGGGTACTTCTGGACCAGGGTCCTCTTACATGGTAATTAAGGGCTAAATCTTTCGATTCAAATTTAAAACATCTTTGCAATGGAAGGGGACAAGGTGGTGCATAGTATGGCACAACCAGCAACCAGAGCACTTCACAGCACTGGCCGTCTAAATGGCAACTCTTATCTGTGTACAGAGATTAGGAGAGTGTGAAATTACAGTTATTAAACCTCTCCATTCTTCTGTACAAAAATATATATATAAATATACACACACACACAGACACAAATATTCAAAGCTTCACTTACTCACTGTAAAGGAAGTATCAAAGAGCTAACTACATCCTTCCACCCATCTAGACAAAAATCGGCAGAAACAGCCCCCCAGTCCCAAACACCTGTCAGTTCCAAAAAAACACTCTGTCAGTTTCCAAAATCTGTCCAGTTGGGCATAAATTTTTATTACAGTAATACACAGACTATAAGTTAAGGCTAGGAACAAAGGAAATCCATATGGCAACAGCAGTGAACAGTATAATATTTCCCCTTTGTTATGGTAGCTCCCTTTTTTGTCCCTGTTAAACTTCTGCAGTTTTGCATCTTCTCTACTCCTTCTATACATAAATGAAACCTAAACTGTGCTCATTTTATTCCCAGGCCACTCCTTTCACACCTCCTGAAGGTATCTGGTAACCAGCAGAGACGTTTGCCTCTGCAGATCACCTAATCTCCAAGAATACAGAATAATTTCCTTTTCTTCTATCAGTGGTGTCATTCCCATTTCTAATCTGTCCCCTTTGAACTGCTTTGCTGAAGCCGAAATATCCAGAGTGCTGCGGCCCTGCACCGCTGCCAGAGTTCACCTATGCCAAAGGACTCCTCAAACTGGCTCGACTGGCTTTTGGATAAATACACACAGGGGGAGTGGTGCAAAGCGTCCTAGGAACCTACTACAAGCAGTGCACAGCTAGTGTCACCATGCTTTGGTGACAGCGGGGCACAAAGCTGTCGTAAAATGGAAAAGTTCTCCTTCGCCTCAAGGTTCTGGTGCAAACAACTGCTGCCTTTGTTCGGGTTATCATCACGTCTAGTGCACAGGGAAAGTGACCTTTGCCGTGCAGAGCAACACACAGGCCTTCCCCTCCCCCTGAAGACATAAGAAGGCCGCTTTGAGCAGAGCAATTGCCACTTTATTGCCCTTTAAGCTTTTCTGCAAGAACACAAACAGCAGGCAATCCTATAGCCTAGGAAGAAAGCAAAGTCATAAATTTAGGTGACCAGAACCTCTGTCACTTTTAAGGTGGGTGTCCAATTTCAAACTCTAATGCAGTTTCCTCCTCTTTGTCTCTTATCCCTTTCGGAAGGCGGTGCCCGAAGGGCAGCCCTCCCACTGGCACCCTGGCTGCAAGGACACTAAGAGCAGATGATAGAGCCGTGCAAAAGGAGGGAAAGTGTTTACCCCTAGGACCCAGTACGGTGCTATTTTCCCAACTTTAGCATCTTCCCTTTTTACTTTTTGGTGTTTTACTCATGTCTGTATTCTGCTGTCTTTAGCCAGCTTGGTTATGCATCTGTTAAGAGGGTGCTGGTGGGCAGAAATCAAGGATATCTTTTCTTAATGGTTTCATCGAGAGGAATGTCGAAGAAGTATTTGTCATGTGTCCCTACCAGCAAATATACATCCTGTGTCCCAAGCTTTCAGTACCATGCTGCTAAGCCTTCTTCACCCCTAATATTACTTGGAATCATTTCTGCCTGATGTGGGGTGTATTATTTTACCTGAAGGGTTTGCTACTACCCTAGTCAGACACACCAATCATCACACAGGGCAATTCATTAGGTTTTCATTCTTCCTTAAGCAGATCATTTGCAACTACTGTTGCACATTTTGACATAAGATTGCCTAAAAGAACTGCATACGTTTTTTCCTTTCATTCTGTCACATTTAACTGAGTTATGGAAAACGCAAAAGTCATAAAAGGGAATGAAATAATTTGTAAAAGGTTTTAAGCTGCCCAGCCAGGTATAAATAATGGTCATTCACCCACTCACTACTGAACATAACTTAGTGCTCTGAAACAAATTGTTTATTCAAAGTGTTTTCAGTAATTTTAGGATGTATAAAAGTCCTTCCAGGGATAACTGCAATAGTTCCAGTTAAAGGGTCCAGAATTCCTGTTCTATGACTCAGTGGCACATGCACCGAAAAGGGATCCAGAGAACAACTGGATTTCAATGAACACAACTGCTCACTGCACTAGTGCCATCTAGTTGCTGAGCAGCAGTGACGCCTACTTCATATGCTGAATTATTAAGCAGTTTAGATAGACAAACAGATAGATAGATGGATGCAAGAGCTCAAGTCTACCCACTAGCCCTGCCATTATCTAAAACAATTTGGTAACAGGAACATGCTGAATTCAGACCCCTGCCTTAAACGGATGATCATCAAAATCTAACACAAAAATGCTTTTGAATTACCAGGCCACAAAAGTTTCCAGCTATCCAAGTGCACTAGCTTGGCTTAAGCTAAGAACTTTGTTCCCATGAATCAATACAAATGCCTCAGTTAATATAACCTTAAAAAAAGAAGCTGCACATTTATGAAGAGTCAATATGTCGGGGTATTAAGTAGCTAATTTTTATTTAATGAAACAAAATAATGAAGTTCTTTCAACTAACTGAATGAAAACAGAAAGGCACTCCAGAATAATTTGCTCTCAACTACACAGAATACACTTACCATGCAATCGTCCTAGCCAGTTTTGTTGCTTTCTTACACGTGGGTACTGTGACCAAGATTGTTACTGAAATATGGAAACTACACTCAGAGTACAGGAAGCTACTCAGTAATTTTTGAAGATAACCAAGTTTCAAATTCATATGCTGCACAAAGTTTTCAGAATATAAATGTGAGAGTTTACGCACTCTCTGAGTAACGCTTGAAACCCTCAAAGAACTTTATAATAAATAAGCATTTTTTCTTAGTGCAATCACATTCCCAGTACCTTTAAACCAAATTCCAGTACATGTAAACTGTAAACAGTTTGTGTAAAGTTTTTTTTTTTTGATTAGTAGAAATTTGCATATATCAGAATTACATTTGTGCTGTTAACTACAAGGAGTCCCTTGGACATACTTCAGCAGAATTAAGACTTTAACGAGCAATCTGCTAATTCATCTGTATTTATCAATCTCAGCTGTAAATAATACTCCAGGATCCAACGTGCAACTAATGGGGAAGGTGTCTTCCCTACTCCCCCAACCCTTTTTTGTTTTAAAATGCAAGAGCAGAAATTTGACAGTCACCAATGCCGACCAAAGAACTGAAGATGATTTCTCAGAACAGCTCACGTTTGGTATTTTCATACATCTGCAATTAAGCTCCTAGAATATTTTTTCATGGCTTTGGAACATCTTGGGGCTTTTGTAAAAAGCAATGTGCCCCTAGTTGTTTATCCTACCATTGTATATTTGTCTTTAAATACAGTGGGTCACATCCTATCCGCTGAGAAATACGAACAGCCCAGTTAAAGACTCTGCACAGAAAACTCCATTTGCCACCATGTTACAAATATTGGCTCTAGAACTTTCTAGAACATTCTACCATGAATTTAAAAAGTGATAATTTGATAGTACTGCCAGCTGTAACTATTTTCTTAACAGAAAAATAACTACAATCCAAAGACACAGTACATTTTATAGTATTAAGGAACATGCAGACAGATCTGACAGAAGCAATCTGGTCATTTCAAGAAGCTCAAATTCTGGCAACCGTTTCAAGTATTTAATCCAATCTGGAGAATAACATTCAGTGTTTACATGCAAAATACCCCAGGAGAAACTACTGAAGCTTCACAGCAAAACACAGCTATTCAGTACTCAAATCTCTAACAGATTCAAAAGTTTCACCGTGCTTTCAAATAAGTGAAAACACCAAATCTAGACACATGGCCACGGTAGGAGCACGGACGTAAAATTTTAGAATTAGAACAGAGCCCCCCCCCCTCCTTGAACATTTGCTCACACAAATAAAAGCTAGATCAGCCCATGAGAGGGTCATGGGAAAAAAAAAACATTCTTTATGATTAGCACAAGTAAAGCAAGTAACAGTATCAACAGCATCTATCACCACCTCGGATAATCCCTTCTTTTTATGAGCCCTTGCTCATTTTTTAAACATTTCCAGATCCAATATTTTTGCAGTGCTTCCATAGGATATCTTTAGGGTATCTTATTAGAAATTTTCAAAACCTACAGATTTAGTGCATAAATCCACAGCATTTTACTGAAAGTAATGGTGGGAAGATTGTGCCTGCACCCCTCCTCTACAAACAAAGGCAGCAGAACCAAGGGTAACACAAGAGTGTGGATAAAAGCAGTGAGATCTAAGAGTAGAAACAAGAGTGCACTGAATACCAGAATCTGTCTGACCAAGAAGCTGGGTAGGAACTAACCTCCATCCTGCATGCAACTGAGAGGGGAAAAAAATACTTATCCCTCTGCTACCTACACAGGGAGTAATAACAACACCTGACCATCTACCTGCTCTCTGCGTGTTTGAATACTGCCCTGCGGCTGTGAAGAATCCCCCTTTGGCTGGTAGCCAAAAGAAAATGAGTGCGTCACACACATGCTTTGCTTTTAACATTACAAAAATCGTTTATCACAGCCAGCTGCAGAAAGGGTAGCTATGCTGAAGCTTTGGAGGACAGCAGCATCCCCACTGCCCATACAGGAATGGGGCAGTAAGTTTGGGCAACTACAGGCACAGTGTGCACAGAAAGCAGCCAACTGTGTGAAGGGCTGCATCGACCCCTTCGCTTCACAGCTTCCAGGAGCCTGGCTGCTCTCCAGTGACTGCGGGATTGCCCTCTGGTGGCCACAGGCCACCGGACACGCAGGCCCTGGACAGCCACCAGCTTTGGGAAAGAAAAGGGGAAAAGTCACTTGACACTCATTTGCCTCTATTGGAAGTGAAAGTCACCCTGCAATTTAGGCCAATATAGAAGCAGGCAAAAGACTGACTATTCTGTTCCATGAGGAAAAGAAAAATTCACATAGGTTACATAGTTATTTACTGTAAAACTGGAGAGAAAAGCAAAAATCAAGAATTGGCACCTAACAGCAAGACATAACTCCACTAACAAAAATATAAAAAGTTAGAGGTTAAGAATTAAAAAATAGGGTGAGGATTACATACAGTAACTGGCTTTATAAAGCAAATACTGTAGTTCAACGTTCTTGTACTGCACAACCAGAATGCAGCATTTTGAATGATTCTTCATCACTAAAGAACTTCATACTGCTCACATGAAATGTGACATTGCCCTGCCAGAAATGGAGCCTGTCAGTGCCTGTAGACCCCTCCCTGCTCAACAATAACCAAAGAGCAAAAGAAATCTGCTCAAGATAAAATCCAATTAACACTGTACTCACTTTCATCCTGAAGGAGATTCCTTGTTTTAAAAGATAATTACATTAAACAATATAAGCCATATTCAATTTATTATTTATTTGCCTAACAATTTCTTAATTAAAACAATGTAATGAAAATCATTTTAGTTAAAACATCCTCCTTCCTACTTACCTAGCAAATTCAGCCAGCTGCTTGGGGTCTGAGAGGTCAATGCCAGGTATTCCACCAGGAGGAAGTTTCTTTCCCGTCATGTATTCTGAGTAATCCGGAGGAGAATTCTCTCCAATAATCTGCTCTTCCACCACTGTTTCATGGTCAATATCTTTTTTATCATCTGAAATACATAAAATACTGAACTTAGTACATACTGAAAACCGAAATAGCCTATGAATTATTAGACTACTCCTACAAAATACAAATTCTGCTACTGCTACTACTACTGCTGCTGCACATTCTTAAAGGATACAGTGCAATTCTAGATTTCTATGCCACTTGTAAATAGCAAAAAAAAGCATCCACACAGTTTCAACATAAGGAATACAGAAAGAACACAGTGGAAGAGGAAAAAAGCAGCAGTTGCTATCTACTTTAAAACAGACAAATATGGAAATAAGAGGAGTCATCCTATGAGAATGCTGACTGCATTTTAAAAATTACAATGCACTTTTCCTGAACAGTGCAGACACTTATCTCTCTTCATACATCTTCAAGATTCAATATCCACTTTGGATCACAAAAACAGTCAGTAATCAAACAGACCTATCAACGGAGTGGCAGATACTCACCATAACCAGTTACAAACTCTGATCTTCACACCCGCACTCTTTATACTTCCCTAACACCCAAGAGGAATGTTAGATTTTAACAACAACTGCTTAATGGGCTTCAGCACTTGCTCATAAAATTAAGTTTTTCAGCAGTTGCAAAAAGTATCTGAAAGAAACTAAAAAAAAACTGAAGAGCCTTTGCCTTCCCAGAGAGGCTTCTGCCTGTGCTTGGGTCTTAGCACCTTTCTACTCTACTACATAAACAATAGATAGAGACCACTGAGGCTTTTGATCTCCGATCCAGCAACAGAATACTGCTGCCTACTCACCCTGGAGATCCTCCTATGGATTTGCACCTTACAGCTGCAATGAAGTCAGGTGGAAGCCCTGCTGTTGTCTGCTCAGCTTCAGGCCTTACAGAGCATCAAGATACTGGTTTCTCTCTCCTCCAGGTATGTTAGAACAAGGGAAACTATAGAGAAAGACGCCACACCAATCATACCCTCCCCTCTCACTCAACAACCCATGTTTATTTCACAGCCATCTGCAGAATACAGTTGTAGCTACTGAGCTAAATGCTACTGAACCTGCCACTACATGACTTCTCTTGCCTTGCTTCTTTGAGGGGAATTCTGCAAAACACTTTCTACATAAAAGGGTTGCAAAGTCAAATTTATATAAACACAGAAATTCAAGTTTTACAGCTAGTATTTAAGGAATGGAAACAAGAAGTAACAGGATAGAAACACTATTTCTCTCCTCCAAAAGACAGGAAAACATAAGGCAGAGAAGAAATGAGGCAAGCTTCTCCCCATGTTGAGAACACGGGAAATAACATTATCCATTACTTAGTAACTTATATTCTCTGGTCCTCTTTCCCAATTGGAGTAAAAGGAATATACCTAGGATACATTTCTATTCAATTTGTAATGCCTGCTTTTAATCTTCACCACTGAGCTATTTCTAGAAATGTTACTGCTAGTTTGGTGTTTAATCTGATCTACCAGATCAAATAGCAGTTCACTTATATGTTCCATGGTGAAAGAGGAAAACAGACTTCAACTCAGACAGGAGTGTTAATAAGAAAATACCATCTAAAGTAAAACACTAGGGGAAAAAAAAAAAAAAAAAAAAAAAAAAAAAAAAAAAAAAAAAACCACCACCGCACTCCTAAGTGTGTAACTAACTGACTCCTACATCAGTTCACTTAGGTCCATTTTTCATTTTGCGTCTTGTTTTCATTCAACCTTCCAGGCTTTACCAGTGTCAATAAGCAAAGGTTTACACTAAGTTTTACAGTATAGTTGGAAACTTAAAAAAAAAAAAAAAAAGCAGTGCACACAAATGAAGAGAAATAAGACAAAAAACAAACAAAAAACAAACCACAAAACGCACACCAAGTACGAAGCAGTGACTCAAAGTGCAGAGCTTCTGGAGAGGCAACGTGAAGACTTCCCTACATTGCAGACTAGAATGAGATCAGCTGCCTTCAATTTAGCCACTTGCACAGCTACACTAAACTTCCAGTTTGACTATTTGATGACATTTACAACAGAACCTAGTTTTCATTTCCTGCCTTATATCAAATGCATGAGTCAACAGGGAAATTTTGCACACATTCCTTAAGATCTTCCGCCTTTCCCTAGCATAAAGGCCCACTATTCAACGTTTTCTTGCTATTTTACAAGCAAAACAGAAAAATCAGCCCTCGGTGCCTTCCCTTCCCAAAAGCCTGCCAGGAGAAATCAATTCCAAGGCTACGTCTTAAAATAAGCTAGTGGAGAACTACGAACATGTTGCTTTGATACTAAAGAAAATAAGAGAAAGTATCACTTTGGACAGTCCTGACAGTTATGCAAAAATAAAAAGCACTCGCTTGAGCTTTCCTATACCAAAACTGTATCCCTATAGCAGCACATACCCACAGCTTTAGAAGTGAGTTTGCAGCAAAACACACCAAAACAACAACGTATTAAAAATTACCTTAAAATGTTGTGTCAGGCTTTCAAAGTAGAGGATCTGGTTCATACTAAATTTAAAATATTTTATCAAAAGTCACAGCAGACTGGATAGTTCTTTAGCACCCAGAATGTTCTAGTTAGAGACCATCCTATGATATACGATATTATCAACTCCTTGAGGGAAAAAAAAAACCTTCTTTGAAAGTTTACCAATGGCTGTATGCCTCTATCACAAGTTATTTGTGATGTCCTACCAAGCTGGACTAAACAGCTCAAAGTTTGGAGGCTAAAGTTCAAGCAAACTTTCACTCAGGCTGACAAGTTAACCAATATTCTCACTGCAAATAAGACAAGTTACATGCCTGATGTTTTCTGCCTTCACAGAAAGCCTCGGCACCCATCAAGTCCAAAAGGACATATTAATTCCTCCTTTTCTCCCATAAAGTAACAGAAAAGTCAAATGTCTTGCAGCAAAAGTAAAGCCATACACACAGACTCAACCCCCAAATTCTGGGGACACCCCTGGAAAAATGACGGTACAAATAAGGTGAGGTAATTCCATATGGCTTAAATCCATGCCAGGCTAATCTGGATGACACCCCTGCAAGCTAAATACAGATTTATGAAGCCAGTGAAAGAAAAAAAAATGAATAGCTATATACCATCCAACTCACTCTATTTTGTTCCCCCTCCTAAAATTCTTAAGAATTTTTTTACACTTGAGAGTAGAGCAAACTTTAGTTTTCATTCTGCTTAAATGTATCTTTAGCATTGTTCCCACAGACATACTACAGTTTCTAACAGAAAGCTGTAACATGATTTCAGTAGTCTTCTGAAATTTGCAACCATTTGTAGGTATATCCTCATCTCCACGTGAGGGGGAACTTCTTTATTGTGAGGGTGACAGAGCCCAGGAACAGGCTGCCCAGGGAGGTTGTGGAGTCTCCTTCTCTGGAGATCTTCACAACCTGCCTTGATGCCACCCTGTGCCCCGTGCTCTGGGTGTCCCTGCTGGAGCAAGGGGTTGGACTAGATGATCTCTAAAGGTCCCTTCTAACCTCAACCATCCTGTGATTCTGTGATCAATTAATTAACCATCTTCTCATCATAAAAATATGCATTACCGGGCACTCTCATTATTATTTCCAATATTTATCCAGAACAGAGAGACCTATTTGTTAAAATTAAATAAAAATCTCAGAGATACCCACAAGCTCTTCCTATACAATTACCAAAAAAAAAAAAGAAATTACAGAATCACAGAATGTTCAAGGTTGGAAGGGACCTCTACAGATCATCTAGTCCAACCTTCCTGCTCAAGCAGGGACACCTAGAGAAATGGTTAATGTCTGTTAAGGACATATTAGAGAGTTACACAAATAAATGTTAATGCTCCATGCCCTTCCATCTGTGTTTATCTCATGCCACCTAAGTAAGCAATGTTACACATTATGAACCGGACACTTTGGCATTCAAAGCAAGCAACTCAAAGGAATATTTTTGTCCTAAGATCAGTGCAAGTCCTGCATTTTAGTCAAACACCTTTTGGCTACCACTTGGCTACATTGGTGAATTAATCGGAGTACCAACCTCAAGTACCAATTCACCTTATCCCAGTTACTGAGATAAAACTAGAAATGCAGATTCCATGCAACAGACCAATGATAAAATGTTCTAGAATGTGTTTCCAAAATCGTTTTTTGTTGAAAACCCTTCTGCTCTTATTATCACACTTTTCCCATCTTTTGCTGCGCAGAAAAACCATCCATCTCCAAACCATATAATTTCATGCCTGCCTGGAAAAGCATCCAGTCCCAGATGACGTCCCTGGAATGTGCTGCCTCTCTAAGACCCCCAACTTTCAACCCAGAAAAGCCTTTCAGTATTTGCCTCTTTTATAATCAAATGTAACCTTGGGACTATCTCTGGATCCCCAACTCTCTGAGCTCCTAACTTTGTTGCAGAGCAGGGAGAACACACTGTTATTCAATAAAATCTCCCTTGTGGAAAATAGGGAGTGCAAAAGGGAACTCAGAATGTGCCCTTGCTGCTACGGTAATGAGACTGCATCTTCCTCCCCAAGGTACCAAATGTTTACCAGCTGAGACTTAAATTTTTTTTTTTTTTTTTTTTTGCTTAAGCTTAAATTTTGTTTATGTGATTTCACAGTTGAAAGCATTTGCTTCTTGGGTCAGATGAAACACAGTTATATGATAAAGGATGTATCTGGCAACTATGCAGTACCAAGCAAAGTGGTAACAGCTTGGCTATCACCACCAAAATGTTAGCTCCCCAGCCAAAATAGTTTGTTGATCGTGTTTGGAAGCAAAATACCATAATTAGCTTGTTAAATAATCCAGTTATTAGTTGAAATCTCAAAACCATAAACTCCATTCTGCATGGTCTGACAATTCTTAACCTAGCTGGCTGCTGCTAGGCAGTAGCCACTAGGCTACTTTCTATCTAATGTGCCTTGAACAGATGGAAAACAGGTTCTTCTTTCCCCTTGTCACCCATCTCATATATCACATCACTGAAGGAAACAAGAACTGACAAAACCACCGCATATATCAATAGTCACCATCTGACTTCAACATTTGCCAGACACTGTGCAGAAGCACTATGACCTTGGGAATCATCACCATACAAGTGCTGTGGGTCTCCCAAGGAAAAAATCAAAAGTTAGAGGACACTAGTTCAAAGATCAGCTGGGAGGCAACTTAACTAAAAAATTAAGTGATGAACCACATCAATGTAACTCACTTCCAAAACTGAAAAAAAACACTTAAAATAGATGTAGGAAAAGATTTAAAGTTTGTGCTTATCCTCTAACGTTCACTGTCAAAAATTTTAGGGCAGACGGAACAGAAACCAAAAGCCTACAATGTTATTGCAACCAGAGCCAGAAAGACATTATCTTCCTAATATTTTAAAGGAACTAGACAATCACTTTCTGCTTCTGTTATGAATTGGGAATGAACATCCTATATAAAAATTTTCATAATCACAGAGATTTTTGGCCAGCCTTGATACAGGTCCAGAACTGCACTAAATGATTTGTCTATTATTTATAGTATAAAAGACAACTAACTGGTCAAAAAATAGATGGTTATCAAATTGCAGGGGTGAGAAACATAGTCCAATCAAAGAAAAAAAAATCCAACTATTTTAAGAGGTTAAAAGTTGTTTTTAAAGAATTCTTAAAGAACCTTCTAAAAAAGACAGTCTAAACTCCCAAAATTCTGAAATACGTTTCCACTACATATGCTTCCTGGATTATCAAGCATCCTTTCCAAATCACGTATTAACATCTGCATCATTGTCTTCCCTACCGAGGAAGAGAAGACTTCAGCAGTTTAACATCCATACTTAGTTCAGTTACGTTATTTCAGCCCTAACCTTGCTGAGTATCTCTGCTAATGATAATAAATAAAGCTAAGACAAAATCCCTTTTTTCAGATCCAAAAGCTTTACACAAGCAGTCACTACTCAGAAGCAGATGTGGTTACACCAACACCTTTTTTCCAAGATTAAGACCAAGTTGTTTGAAATTCCACCATTTACTGAAGCCAGTATTTCAGCATCACCTCCCCAAAGGTTCCTGTGTCTAAGCATTAGTTTTGCAAATGCACCCAAGTGACTTCTAACAATCCTTCCCCTCCTCACTACAATATTGCACATAATCCGTATATATTCTGGATTAAGAAGAAGGTTCAAGTTGAACCCTGTTGAGGCACTCAAATTTGATTTTGTAAAAACTAGTTTTCCTAGGTTCTCAGTTTTACAACTGGGGTCTCTCACATGGGAGAGGGCCCTTAACTGTGTACAGGTTTCTAAACCTAGAAGAAAGTTCAAATAATTCCATTCCTCATCTAGAATGTTAATCTGAACTAGAATAAAGCATTCCTGTCTCAAACTAAACAGTTTAATTAAAGTAATCATGGGTCACAAGTTTGATACCACCATAGATACCAAGGTGATTAAGGACAGTCATGGCAAGGCTAAAGGGTTGCCAGCAACAGGACTGCAACTAAGTAACCACATAACAAGACAAGGATTGAGTACTCCCCCTTACTTGCATTCATATATGTTTCTTAGAGACTATAGTGCACATTTCAAGATCTGCTATAAAATTCATTTATGGACAAAGATCTGTGATTGCCTGTGTTTAGTATGACCCATGTGCAAGTTAATATAGTAGCTCCAGAACACAATAATAAGAAATTAATTCACATTGTCTTCCCACACAGTGGCAAGCAAAGTGCTCTTGTTCCCCATTCAAATATGCAGGGGCAGCAACAGAGCACTCATTATTTTATCCTGACGCATGGCCCTGTTTACTGCTCGTCTTTTGATAAACTTTTTGCTAAATACTTAAATCAAATAGTCAATTACATCAGGGTGCCAGCCCATCTTTAATTATGTCAACATACAAATGCAAAATTACTATCTTTGTTCAAAATAAAGTGTACTTGTTTCTGCAGGGGAAAAAAAAAAAAAAAACCACTCAGCACAACCACCCTTCTGCAAGCAGGTCATTTGTTTTGTTTTTCCAATTTTGCTTTTGTTGAAAATTTTCTGGCATTCACTCCCCTTCAAGCTTCTGAAAACAAAACGAAGTCCCGGAACTTCCACTTGACCACAAACTACTCTCGACCACTTTTACAGCATTCACTAAGCTGTGCAAGAGGTACAAAAGCCTATCCAAGAGGCTCGGTAAATGTCACAACACTTAAGAGCAGTGTAGGCTGCTTGAATTGACTGTGATTGGGGGGGAAGGTCAACTTGAATACTTTTAAATATAGACTTTGCAGTTTGGGGTTTTAAGCTCATTTATGATGGGATGTATTGGAAGTTAACTTAGAACAGGTATTCTGCATCCTTCTGCGTCATGGCTAGACTATAACCAAGCTGAATATAACAGTGCAATTCAATCCCTAGTAAAGTACATGGCAGATACTGTCCAGACTGCTCTTGCATGTTTATGATCATAAAAAGCAAATCCACTAAAATCAATAGCGAGTTTCTCACTGAAGTAACGGTACGAAAGCAATCAAGGGCTCTAATTATAAAAGCATTTCATTTCAGCGGAGTAATAATCTGCACAAAGCAGCTCTATGGAAGCATCTGAGCGGGCACTATGATTTCAGAGTGCACACGCACAGTAGCGAATGCCAACCGATCCTGCAACCTGGATCGCTCATGAGTCACACAAGCCACTTGCGTTCAGTTATCTCAGATGGCTTCCACCCACCGTAAGGCTACACTTGCCTTTTTTTTTTTTTTTTTTTTTTTTTTTTTTTTTTTTTTTTTTTTTTTTTTTTTTGGTTTATCCAGTATGCTCTTAGAAATTTATAGCTAGTGAACTGAATTCAATTTACATTTACTGACACAGAGACAAGCACAGAAATTCCATTCTATCAAACAGTATTTGAGAAACTCAAATGGCAAGTACTCAGCTCATTAAGAAGCACTCAGTTTGCTTTAAACAAAGCATCAAGATCCTAAAAAGAAAATATACCTGAGAATATTTTGCAGCAGCTGTTAAACACAAAAAATGCATACCCTAAGTATTATATTTTCCATCAAAACTTATTAAATGTTAAAAAAAGAAAGTCTGAATGATCATTCTTTGCAATTTATGAGACATGGGAATTGAGCCACTTAATATACTTTTCCTTCAGGACTACTGAATGGTAACTGATCATTCCCAGCGAACACAGAAGTGAACAGCTCAGGGAGCATCAGGAAATTAAACAGCATCTTCTAACCCGAACCGTGTTAGCCAAGTTTAAAAACCAGCACGAGAATTACGAACTGCAAGCTGGATCACTGACCCATCACTTCGCGATCGCATGGCAGGTTAAATATTACATGAGCTGATACTATTTGACTATTATGTAACTTTAGCGTAGAGCCTCATATCCAGTAAAATAATTGCTAGGTAATTTTGGAAAGTGTGTGGGGGGAGAAACCCCACCGTATTACAAGTTACTCTCTTCCGCTGACACGGAAGTTTCATCCACCCGTAAAGGTAAGAAAATACAGAAAGGAGGAGCAGATCAAATCCCGGGGCGGGGGGGCGGCTTTACCCCGATCTCGCAGACACCACACACCTCCGGGCCACCAAGACTTTATTCCCTTCGAGATGGCTCCACGAGGGGAGAGGGAAGCGACGCTCCCGGCACACGCGGGGCTCTCCCCGCGCCCCCGGCACCCACCTG